AAGCGCATAATTTACGTTCTTCATATTAACATTATTTCTATGAAATAGTTAAACATTCAAGAAGAAAAAGACGTTTCATTCTTGAATTTACTTACGTTTTATTTAATCTTTAAAATATTTTATAGTTTCTAAAACGTAAAATGAACAAATACTTCAGTATCGTGTATTTATATACTAGAACTACATATCGTGACTACTTCATTCAGTTACTTACTTACTTATTTACTTACTTACGCCTGTTACTCCTTGTGGAGGAGCGTAGTCTACCTACCAGCACTGTCCATTCAGTTATTGACTATCAAATAAATAAACTGATTATAGTCTGAATACCTTCTTAATCGTATCAAATGTTTATGTAAATTCAAATCTTTAAAGTGAAGTATCATGTTTTGTATTTTTTTAATATTTGCTTTATGTAAAGTGTTCATAAACTTAATCGATCATATTAGATTTGAATACTGTCATAGTGGTTTCAAAGTAGATAATATTACTGATTTGTTTGTTTAACGTTAATATTTCACGACATAATTATGAATTAAATGTTGAATAATACAAACCTTTATATTAAAAACATTAAAATAAACGTTTGAGAGTAGAGATGAGTCTAATGTTTAATCGTGGGAAATCAATGTTCATACATGCAACTAATGTACACAGTAAGAGTATATAATATGAAAAGTGGTTTTAAATAAACGCTATGACTTTTAACCAGTTCTTAATTGGTCAGAAAACCGATTGTCTGTAGAAAAGAAAACAATAATATTACAAAATACAAACAGTCTTCTGTAGGTTACTCTATTTATAAATTGAACAAGCAGTGACATACGCAAACTCATCTAGATGCATATAGATCACCTGTCTTCTCTGATACTTTTAAGGGTCTAGACGGGTTTTTTTAAAGTTTCCGGTTAAGTATCTAGGATTCATACAAGGAGTTTGATATTGAAGTCTTCATCCCAAAATGACATCGATGATAACAAGAAAATGCTTTGTAGCAAAATTAATGATCCAAGTTCCTGCAAAACTCCTAGAGGAGTTAGCTTAACTGTTTTTTAATTCGTCAACAAAATATAGTGTCACTGGTTTAAGTCATTTTTCTAGATTGAATGTTAGAATGTAGAGATAATGTTGGTTCGACAGTTATATATAATCTACAATCATTAGTTTTATTCAATGATAGCTATATATACAACTAGATCGGATAAACTATTTGATCTAAAATGATTTCATAACGATTATTTTTTAGTACATTCATAACATAAATATCAACTTCTATGATAGTAATCCATTTGATCGCGTGATAGTAAATGAGTTTCAATATAAGACATATACTTGATAAAATGTTATCATTAAATGAATTAGTTTATTTTATATTATATGGTTATAATTCCTTATAATTCATCAATTTAATCATAAACTATTATTTGTTCTAAAGGATAGTTTCTATGAAACTCATTTTGGCTGAAAAATCAAAATGTAATAAGCTATGAAGTTGTTCTATAAATTGATAATCAGTATAATCATTAGAATATATGTTTTTGAACAAAGCAAATAGATGCTTAACAGACTGATATCAATAGTCAGAATGTCTAAAACTAAACAGTAGAACTTACATTTACATGGGTAAATTGTTTCATATGACAACATTTTGGTTTATGTATCTCTTTTTTTAAAACAGAATAAGCCACTGAAAACTATTCATTTAGAGGCATAATATCGAATTACTTGCATTGATCGCTAGTTTGCGATTCAACCATCTGAATTGTTCTACTGTCAAACGTAGATGATATAAACTTGAATTAAAGGAGATTAGTTGTTTATTAGATTTAAATCAGTTTTTTTTTTATTTTAAATTCATTTTTGTTTATGAAAATATCATTTGTAAGATACTACGATAGTATGAACTAGTACGTTTCTTGCTTTCTATCAATTTCGATTGTTGTGTGAATATAAAGATGCCATAATTCACTGAAATATTTATTTTTTTTTTGCTTTTACCTATGCTACAAATTATCATTTTTGCATTGATTATTATACTATAGACGTAAGGTACAATATTTAAATAAACATGGACCTATTGTATTATATCACAATCCTCGAAGTTCAGCACAGTCCAATTATGGTAGCTCATGTCCACTCAACCAACATTTCATGAATATTACATACGAAGATACATCTAATATTCCTCCATTAATTACAAAATCATCAAATGCCGCTTACAGTAAACAATTAGAACCAAGTACAATACCTGATGAATATGATGAATGTGACCCACTAGGCATATACTCTGGTATAGGAATATATGAAACTGGATTTCCACCAGATGAGAATACAGAAAGTGTTGATAATAAAGATAATCCATTAACAAAAACAGGAAGAATACCAGATCCTTTTGATGAAAATGCCCCTCCTTTACCTGATCGATCGGAAACATATGGTTCTCCATCAATTCAAATGATTAATGACTTCACTCAATCAATGGATAAGAAAAGACCACAATCACCGTCAAACTTAAGTACATTTACAAATAATTTTAATGACTCAACTACATATCGATCTATTATGAATCGTGACAACATAACAAATGTTTCAGCAATTAATTCACCTGTTTTTGAGAATAGACCAAAGATTTATAGACGAACCTCAAGTGTTTGTGACGCATAAATAATTTTTTTTCAGCTTTTGGATGGATATTTAATATGATTGACTAACAGCTGAACTTGACAAAATGATTCGTCTCTCTTTTATTCAAAAGCAAAACAATTCAGTTTTAACAATCAATATTTTGTAATTGTGAAGTGTTTTCCAAGTCCCCTTGTTTTATCATTTGTAATGGTTTGTATTGATATATCGTTTTTAAATCATATTGATTATTTTATAAATAAATAAACTTGTTTTAAGCCATAACTTTATTATAGTTCATAATTAGGAGATATCTTTTGAATTATTTCAATACCTTAACCGTTGAACAAGCAACATTCAGTTTCAGCATTTTAATCTAAGTGAGACGAATGAAGTAGTTTGAGGTAGAAAATATAATCAATTACAATGAATACTTAAAACACTTTAAATGTTCATTATCTTGTTATTTATAAACTGGACATGTTTACTCAATTCGTATTTTAACTGTTAAGAAATTCTGAAATGTTTCAACATGATATCATCATACTTCGTACAATCTTAATGTAAATTCTGAAATCAGTTTTCATATAGTAATTTATTGGTAAGAATTAATTTCATTTTTACTCGGATCAAACATTGCTTAGTTGAGAACCTACGACTCATTAGAATCTAAGGGAATCACGTTACCAATAGAACAATTATAATGCTGAATTATTATGAATATAATCGTTTATTAGAGATTATTCAACTTAGAGTCAACGTCTCTCATCATGGGAGGTCATCAATAGAATAAAAATTGGAGTCAAGGAGCGATTAAAAGTTGTTTTGTTTTACTTTGTGACTTTTCAGTATCCAGTACCTACGACCACAAACGTAATCCAAACATAACGCATCCATGGCGTACTACTCGTACGATGCCTCTAGATTACCTAATTGAAATCTAGTGGTCCATATTTTGAAATGGGGATACAAAAATAAGCTTGCCTTATTAATATGGGCTATAATCTTACACTATGTGTTTGCACAATGTTTCTCAGGACACAGTCGGACAACGGTTGTTTTCAGTGCTCGATTATCGCCTAAGCATTTCTTCCTAGTATGGGACTCCTCAGAACTGCGTATCCGTGATCTCGTAAGCAAGAATCGAATCCAAGACTTTCGGTTTCTCATGCTAGCGCTTGAACTCTAGACCATTGATGTGAGATTCAATGGTGTGGTCGTCTAAATTATATCAGTTTATAACATCGCGCGACCATTATCCACTGCCTTCAATAAGTCCTTTTCTAACGCCCGACATAGTTGAACCCTATGCATATTTTATATGATCATACTACTAAAACATACTGATAAATCGATTACAAGAATATTTTCAAATATATATGCTTATATAAATCTAAACTAGAAAGTTCATAATTCACAAAATCCCTTCCTATCTCCCACCCCACCTCACAATTCAAGGATACAAAAACAGAACACAACATTTATAGAATAGATTTTCAAATTCATAAGATTACATTTATAACTAATATTGATTTAATAATTTCTATCGAAAATAATAAACCACATATTATTCACAACATAGAAAAAAAAGCAAGAAATTATTTACACTGGTTTTTACGTTGAACTGTAGATAACCTAGAAACAAAGATTAAGAAGTGTTCCTATTTACAAATATATATATATATATATATATATATATATATATATATATATATATATAAAGTATATATTCAACTTTCAATGTTACATTAACGGAATGCAAGTTAATTCAATGAATGTAAAAGCAGAAATTAATCATTATGATTATCACGTTGTATAAGAATAAGAATAAGAATAAGATATCAATTAGAAAATTACAAAGCAATAAACATCTTAAATGTCATTTGATTTTTATTTTTATTATTATTTTTACGATTATTCAACTTACCGAATGAATTGAATCATTCTTAAAAAAGAAAATTGCAGTTTTAATCGATTTTCTCACTGTTACACGACAGCAGTAATAAATAACATTTACAAGGGATATATATATATATATATATGGAAATTCCAATGAAAGAGATCTATATTATCATGAAAGTTATATTCACAATATTAGAGTATTAAACATAGATAGTCTTTCTCTTCTCATTCTTTCTATGAGCAAAGCTTTTCTTTTCTACTAATCTTCTCTTTATCTTAATTCCACCCTAAACACATTCATCTAATCACCAACACATACAAGTTGTTCTTTCTCCCATGTGTATGGGTATAGTCTTTCCATATTAAAAAAATCCCAAATGACATAAGAATTCCAATAAAAAATAAGAAAAAAAAGTGCGTTCATCAGAGAGCGAAATAAATTTGAAAGAATTCAACTGTATATATACATATATATATATATATATATATATATATATATGTAGTCCACCTTATTTGTTTGGAGTTTTCACGTTTGGTTCCGGTCTTTTTACTTACTTAGTTTCATTACTGTTCAAAGGATAAATATAATATTGAGCAAAACAAACGAATTTTCTTTTGTTTTCGTTCAACTCTGTTGTGTGAATGGTGTAAGTGTGTGGATTACAGTATCACTCACGTCAAAAGCTGTGAATCGATACATTTTTCAAAATAGAGTTGCTTCTGTGTTTTGTTTAATATTTCGAGTATTTATTTAGTACAGGTAATGAAGTTTGTATATCATAATACATAGTTTTTTACATCATGAATGTTGACTGCGTGATTGGTAGACAGTAGGTGAAGAAGATGGATTGTTCATAGATGTACAAGGAGGGTAGACGGTGGTGTAATAAATCTGAATAAAAAGATGGAACGACTTCAGATAATTGAAAGTAAAACAATAAAGTCATTTTGTTTATAATGAATGTAAAGTGAATAGAGGTAAAATAAGTGACACGACTATAACCACGAATCTCTTACCTTTGAATAGACTACTATAAATTTGAAGAAACCACTTAGTTGAGTTTCTCTTTTGACAGAATTTAAGCGAATAATTGATGTTTCAGACTGATATTTTCCGGGGAATCATTGAATACCGTGGAGTATTCATATACCAAATCATACTGCACGTTTTCAAAGCATTGGGTTAATCAGCATTTCCTAATCCAGTCACTTTTAAGCACAATGAGACAATTATCCAATGTCTCAAGAAGATAAATATAACACCTTGGTATTCAATGTTGCTCTGTGATGAAAATTATCTTCAAGTAGGGATTGTCCATTTTTCAATAAACATGCTCTGTATAAGTTGTTCTCTAATGTGAAATGACTACTAAATTTCATTTTCACAAGAATAAGAGTTTTAAATAACTGGAACCAGAAAGGTTGAGTAAGTTGCCGTGACACAAATATCATAAAATGCCCTTCATTAAAAAAATTATATTATCCTAAGAAGAGGATTAATTTACATTGATAAGTATAATAGACTATTTTGAAAAAAACAATACTTCATCGAACTTTTTCCAAACCGTAGTATATAATTCTATAGTAACGTCTAAGTACTATGTTTGTCACCATATTTATATGAATAAGATATACTATATTTATTGTAGATTTATCAGTAAGAATTCAAATTTAGAATGGCTGTTTGTCTAAATGATGTGTAAAGATTTACTGTGGATAAGCATATGTTATCGGAATATAGATTAGATTAAAGCACGTCCGATGCAGGATTGTGTTGGAACACGCTGATTGGATAAGAATTAGCCAATCAGCGATAGTGAATATTTGGAGAAGAATCTAGAATCTTTTTATGTAGAAACTATAAATATACTAACGTTTGTCTTATTATATTTCCTACTTCCATCTACCCTTGTTATTCGGAGTATAATTTCGTTCCTATTCAACCATGTTCTAATTTGGGGACTTGTGTAAATTGGTGTCCAAGACTACTAATCATTAGGAGTAGCAGGGTCGTAATAACAGAAATTATAACAATACAATTCCTGTTTCCTGGAAAGCTATTGAATTTTTGAATCCCAAACTGATTATGTTAATAACAACAATAAAACAGTTAACAGCTCATAGATTTTAGCTGATGCATTCATTTACATTTGTTGTGTAAACGATGTGTAGTATAGTTGTCTTCTACAGCCTATGTAGTTGAAATATTATCCACTTCCTTTAGCGGTTAGTTGTTTTATTATGGTGTTGTCATAAAAGTAATTAAATGAAACCTTGTGCACAAATTACATGCAATTCAGTTACATACCTTCTAAAATATTTCGAACTTCTTCACTGGTAGAAAAAATATATATATATATATATATATATATATATATATATATATATATATATAATCCTTAGGTAGACTGCAGTTTGTTGATACCATAGATGAGACATAATAATAAACTATGGCAAGTGTTGTGACTTTATGGGCCGCTTGTTATCACGTAATTTATTCGTCAATCACAATACTTATTCGCTCTTATACTGTACTAAACCAATGGCGTTCGACTGTTCTGATCAGTCCAGCGTCCTATTGGTCCGTTGCTCGCCTAGCCCGTCCAGCTGAGTCCAGAAGGCCAATAACAGCCTCCACTATGTGAATCATTTATTTCAGACATACTGGGTTTATATACCAAACAAACAGACCGTAACGCACCATAAAATAGAACATCGTACAAAATATAGCCAAATGTGGCTGTGAATGTGGGAGACAGTAATTAATAAACTGAGGACAACTTAGGAACAGTAAATCGTACAATAATAATCTATAGGTCGAAATGAAGCTTATAATAAGGGGAATATATATATATATATATATATATATATATATATATATATATATAATCTAGTTACTGAATAGTTATACCATAAGAATATATAGATAATATTAGTCCGTTAATAGGTCTCAGACGTTACTCATAATTCAATATTCACTAGGATATAACAGTAAGTTTGAATTCAGTTTAATTGTAATCAATGCACACTTAGCACATGTTGATCCATATTTTTATATTGATTACAGATTTTCAAATGTAATTCAACGAAATATTAAAAAGGTTCACATAGTGACAAGACAACATATTATTAGTAAGACGAATCATATATGAATAAAATAGGATTTGTAATTCATTATAATCAACCTTTTAATAAATAAATATTTTTTTTTAAAAAAATTCCCGCTTTTCAAATTAACTTTTGACATTAATCTTGAAAAATAATTTTTTTCTTAATTTTGTGTCAAATTACATTAGAAAAAAGAAATAATTCTATTGGATAAAATATATTTAAACTCAATAAAATAATTTTCCAGGTTTCTTTTTTGTTGTTTTTTTTCATCTTACCTTACGTACTGGAATTCGTATTATTATACGTCCTAAAATTGAAATCATATGCAAACAGACTAATAATCCACCCATAGACATCATTACTGTCAAACTAGTTAATAATAAACGATATATAGCATTAATCAAAGTTGACAGACTTCCAATTGATGTGGTAAGTTGTTCATAGTTAAAATCTAATTGATTTCCTTCAAGTTGAATGTTTGATTCTGTTTGATTATTATATGAGGTAATTTGTTCATTAGTTTTTTTATTATTATTCATTTGAAGTGGTTGTTCGTTTAAACTAGTCATTCTTAATAAACGTGATAGATGACCTTTAAAGAAAAAAGGTGAGATTAAGAATTTGGCTATTAAAATATAAGAATTTAATACAAAAAAAATCAGTCGCTTAAATGAGGTAAATAAAGCTGAATGCATGTAAATATCATACGGTTTTCTGCTTACTCTATGCAAATATAAGATAGAAAGTGAATTATAAGAATGTGATATCTAGGAAGATAGGCGTAGATATTGTTGTATGTTGGTACAGACCTATATCATGTTCTTTAACCTGTATTTCTAACACTTTTTTCTTTAACACAAGTCACTTTTGCGGTGATATTTACGTAATTTAAATCATGACCTGATCTCATCTAGACTGCTATTGGAAACCAGAGATTAACTAACATCTGTTTTATCTTAGAACAAAACTCCACTGCAGTGCATATTCACAACTTCACTACAGAAAATAGAAACCATAACAAAAAGTTATCGTCTAATTCCAATCAATTTATGATATTGCGCAAGATAATATATTTAACTGAACACAATAAGAGGTAAAACGTGCTTAGAGAGTTTAAAAGGAAAAGTAACATTTTTGTGAAGATATATATAGAGTCATGTACTAAACTACAGATATTCCACATAGGAAATGCTGATTCGGCTTTTTGATTCAAAACTACTTCACGCTTTGATAAAGATGTAACTGTTAATATGTTTGTAAAAAAAGACTCTAACGGTAATGAAGAAAGTTCGCTAGTCAGTCATTAATTTTCTTTAGTCCATCAGTTATAACAGAAGATTTTGCTCATGTGTGTCTACATCAAGTTAAGCTCTGATTATGACTGAATGTCTACCTGAATTTCTAACACTTAATAACAGTCAAGTTATTTAAATCTATCTTTATTCCACTTTTGAAAGGATATTGTTGGATTAACCTGTATAAACATGAGCTAAACGTGAAAACTCTTTGAAATTACTTGAATAAAGATTGTAAACGAAAAGATTTAATGGTGAATAATTAAGAAAAGTTTCCTACTTTTTCATATTTAATCGTGATCTGATATCAGCTTATAATGTAAACCCTTAAAAAGTTATTCATTTTCGATATTAAGTAATTCTATATGAGAGCTATCTAGCAGTATTACTCACTTTCAGCATAAGTAGCAGGAACAACTGGGGAGAAATGACATACTGGAGTTTTTAGTGTATGTTTAATTTGTTTATTTGTTAGCGGATCTAACTTCCAGTTGGATAAAATCAATAATGCTTGTTCAGTAAACTGAAAATTAGGACCAATTAATTCACAAGCTGAAAATGTTGAATTCGTATCCGTTATCTCTGGTACATGGATTCTCACAGCATGTTGATCTAAGACATAATAATGATTTACCAAACCTTTTTGCAGTAAACATAATTCTGTGATAAACTGTAATTGTATCTGTGTCTGAAATTGAATTGAAAACAGATTATGTATGTATTAATTAAATGAAAAACAAACATTAATTGGTAACATTAAATTAGTTTACATCACGAATTTGTTTCAACTTCAAGGCGATTGATAATTACGGGTCAATAAACAACTTTAGCCACATTATAAAAAGTTTTATCAGTGAAGACTCCTCAATAATCGAACTCTAATGCGTCTATCCTCGCTACGAGCTGAAGTGATCACTAGAACACTGAGTTGGCGCCGAGTAACCTGCACTTCCAACTTCACTTAATTCATTATCTTTTTGACTGGAACCGATTTGTGAACTATTTGAAATAACTCATAGCTTTAAAAAGTAATCTTCCTTCATAAAAAATATATTATTTGCGCGTTATTAGTAGTTCAATAAATCAATCTATTTAGATGGGTTTATTTTTATAACTGCGATCGTATGGACAAACGTTTTTGTTTTTGAAAATAAACCCATTAAAAAATATTCTATTAAATGAAGCACGTGGTTACGATGTATTTATCGTATTTTTTTTTCAAGATTTTAATTTTAATTAAATTTTTCATATATCACATTGATAAGTGTTCACGTTAGTTTCCAACCACAAGTATTTCCTTCATTATTTCATATTCCATTTCAAAAGATCACTGGTTGTAATCAATGAAGTCGGAATCTAACGATATAAAATGTATTAATATTAGTCTAATAACTGATTTCATAAACCAATTGAAGCTAGAAGGCCATGAAAAACGTGAAAACACTGGAGGGCCACTTCGTCCTAAGAAGTGCGCATCCACGATCACATCATGCGAGATCTGAATCCAGGGCCACTTAGACTCTAGACGACTCAACCGGCATCCAACGTTGTCAATGTCTAACTTCAACCAATCCACGAAAGCGGGCCACCGTCCACCATTGATTTATAGGTCTTGGGTTCGAATCTCGCGAGGCGGGATCGTGGATGCGCGCTGCTGACGAGTCCCACGGTCGGACGAAACGACGTTCAGTGCTTCCATGTTTTCTATGGTCGTCCAGCTTCAATTGACACATGAATTCTATCATAAAATTACTAGAATCTCCACAAAACCCCTTCTGATTCTTTATAAGTTGGAAAAATAAATTATTTCATATTATTCTCTAAAGATTGCTACTCTTGTGCTGTTGTATTCAACAATTAAAGGTGAAAATAAAAATTTTTTCATTTTTTATTTCATTCGTATTGATTGCTTGAACAAGCCAGTAGGTATCTGGACTCAGTAGACAAGTAGATAACGCGATGGCGTCTGGGTTCGAGTCTTAGAGTGAACATCAACGCTGAGGCGAAGTTAAATTTAGCTAATGTAACCTAAATAGGACGAAACGTATCATGGATTTCACACCATCCACCTCCGTTTATGATTTTTCTTCTTTGCCATTTATTTTAAATGAAGCTAAATCACTGGAGGATATCAGTCAACATGATCATGAAATATCAACTCTCAGATCGATCAAGTTAATAAACATTCATTATCGTTCAAGATAGACATTGTCTCTTGTCTGAGAATGCGTAAAGCACTTACGGTATTATAGATCATTAGAACTTCTTGTTCATTACCTTAGATAAGGTCACCATTTTTGGTTAGAATAAGAGATTGAAAATTAAGTATCTTTGTAAGCAAAATAACTTATTTGTACAGAAGAAAAATAAACGTAGACTTTTCTTGTAAACACTCTGATGGTCTGAAATTTTGAGGTAATGAATATACTTCAGTAACAAGCAAGCAATGAATAAGTTTAACCGTAAATAAATAAAGGGATGTAAATTATAAATGAAGTTACTAAAGAACATTATAAAACGATTATATTTAAGGAATTGAAGCATTTAAGAGTTAGTGACGCTTTACTGTTCGTTTTTTTAAAGGACCGGTAATGTGATAGTTGAGAACCTACAAACTTCGGTACCCTTCATTTTTTTAGTACAAAAAAATAAATACTGAAAAACCGTACCTTTATACTAATGACTGGGAATATTCTCAAGCCATCTTACTTAATTTGGATCATAAGCTTACTTTAATATTGAGAATTATACTTCATGGCTTTTCCATTTATTTTTATGAAATACAGGATGCTGTTTTCCGAGTTGAAGCCATGATTCCTCAGAAAAGTAGATAGTATATTCTTTATGAACAATGAAAAGTGTATATAATTTATTTTCTGTCTTTTCAAAAAGCTAATCTAGTTTCACTTAATTATCATTGACTTTAGACAGTCTGAAAATATTAGTCTTTTAGTTCATTATGTCTTCTACGCCTACAGATATTTTGTAGAGTTTTACAAATTCATATGGAAAATGTAAGCTAATTATACAGGGGGGGGGGAGTTTGATTAAGAAATAGATTATTCTGTCAACATAAGTGAAAAAACGTAGTATTATTAAGTGCACTAGAACTCAATCGAATAATTACTAATGGTTAAGAGCATGACAATTAGTAAATAATAAGTAAGTCTTAATTGTATTTAACTCCAAGTGTACTCTGAGTTAGGGGGGTATGCTAGCAATATAATGATATTATTTCAATCACACATCTATTTAAACATTCATTAAATAGGTTAGAAATGTTTACAATATTGATGAATCGTCAGATTTCTTGACAATAAATGAATTAACCATTGAAAATGAGTACACACGTCTTCAAAAGAATATCTTATCCAGCTATTATTACAACGTTTACATTGTCTATAAATAAATAAATCTAAAAACCTAAACGTAATGACTCATTCTAAATATATTTTACTTTGTTATAAACAATTTTAAGAAGATTAAAAAGTTTCAGGGCAATCGCAAGAAGAAAGAACCAAAGTAAATACTAAATTGAATTTTCCCATTGATGTTTAGGACCGCAATTGATCAGTCTTTTATTGGCATATTTGCATACTGTGTGTATTATCCTAACTCACAAGCACTGCTAACTATTATACATCTTTGCTTAGAATTAAGGCAATATCGAGTCAATACACACAGTATGCACATATGCCAATAACAGACTGATAAATTACAGTCTTAAACATCAATGGGAAATTTTAAGTAAACAATATCAAGTGAATTTAAACTTCAACTGATTGCACAACTAAGTGGTCATTCGAACTCGGTAGGTAAGTGGATAACACGATGACGTTTGAAGCGGGTGGTACTGAGTTCGAGCCCTAGAGTGAACATCAACTCTGAGATGCAAGTACACTCAACTGACAAGTCCCAAATAAGCTGAAATGCGCGTCCTGTATTCCACTGCCAGCCACTGTTCATCTTTGCATGCAAAGCAAGTACTGACTAAAAAATTAGGATTGTTTTGTACTTTGGATTATTTTTTTCACGTTAATTATCACATTAATTGACTTTAATATTCAGTGAACATTTGATTTTCACAACAAAGAGATACAAACTTTTAACTTTTATTTCAGATAACTTTTAATCAGTTACTAAAAACAATCAGAATTCTATCTTAAATTTTACAAAATATTTAATTGTCTGGAAACTAGTCAACTTCGGTCTTGATTCTGTGACCGAGCAGTTTATTTACATAACCTTTATTGATAACGTTATCTATACACTCATTTAACGATCTCTTTAAAACAATTTCTCTTTTCTTTAAAATTTAGTCAATAGATCTAACTTACTTGTACATGCTCCAGTCTATTAGTCAATTGATTAATCCAATGAGCTTCTTTAGCCGCATTAATTTTAGCGGATCTTACCAAATCCATATTTATATGATTCGGTTGAATGGTTTTCAAGATAGCATTTGTTCTTTGTCTACAGTCTTCAAGTGCTCGTGATCGAGCTAATACACCGGTTCTATAAGATTAAATAAATATTTACTAAAAATACTAATCAAGTGATAATATTAAAAAAAAAGATAAAAATGTTTTTTACTAAAAAAAATATTAGTGAGATTATAATTTATAGACGATCTTTAAGCGACGCCAACGTAACCTTGAGGGTGTCCATCTACAAACTCGGACTAAATGAGGTTTATAAACCATTGTCAGGAATTAAAATTATGATTAATAATTGATGGTTAAGGTTAAGACTTAGATATAGGGTTTACATCATGAACTGACATCAACTAAACGTTATTGCGCCAAATGTATGAATGAATTTCGCGCCAACATCCACAAATTATAGTCTTGCCAATCATAAACTTAATTTAAATTTACAGAATGTAAAATGTGTAGGAATAAAAGTCCGTTTATTTGTTAGCGTTTAGTTTCATTAACATTAAAAACCAAGGAATTAACTGTTCATTTTCTTAATGTATCCTTTAGTTTAATTTATCCATGTTACACATTTATTACATTGATAATAATTAAGTTTCTTAGTAAATAACTATGATTCGTCAGTTATTTTAAGGGTTTCACAATATTAACCCTATTATAATTGATGAACATATGAATATATACAAATATTCGTCAAGATTAGAATGAATAGTTTCACAAACATTGGGCTCCAAGTATAGAGAAGTCATTATTTATATGAAAAGTATATTTAAAATAATCTCAGCGATTGAAATTTAAATAATTCCAACATTTCCTCCAGCAAACTTCTTTGAACATATCTGGACCCTGAAGAAGTCCAAATCTCTTATTTATATTTTCAAACAATCATCTGAGATAAAATCATTCATTAGAAGGTTATTTCATATAATTTTTCTTTCTTTCTTTCGAAATTACGTTTTGGGTTATTATAACAGATTGTTATTTTCTTTACCCTCACTTACTTTCCTTAAGCCTTAATTAATAAGATTTTTCTTGTTGTTTCCTAGCCTTAAAACTCATGGGAATAGTTTATTAGTTGAATCATTCTATAAGCTCATTAACTACATCTGTTAGTTGTAACAATTTTTAAAAAAATCATAATCTTTATTTCAATCTATGAGTTTGAGGAGCTTTTATCAGAAGCGGGAATTTTCATAGTTTACCGTTATTATAAGAAGAGAATGCTTCAGGATTACATTCACAAAAACAATGAAACATTGTGTTTATATTATTCATTTGTTGAATTTAATTAATACGAGTTAGCTAATAGATTCTTTGATGTAATTCCTTTACACTGCTGATAGTTCAAAGCTTATATATTTACAAGTTTACATTTATTAAAGGATCTATAATTTCTGTGTGAATGTTGAAAGCTTTACCAACAACTTGTATCATAAAGCATTTAGAGGAAAAGTTGAATAACATGGGCTGAATCTTTAGAAGATGGTTATTCAGATTTGTTTTGTCGATCACCATTTCCTGGAAGTTTGAGGGGAAGTATGAAATTCAGTGGACAGTTAGGATGCAGCTGGACGATCTAGACTTTGCAGATGATCTGAATCTTTTATCAGACACGCAACAACAACTGTAGGAGAAGACGACCAGTGTAGCAGCATCCTCAGCAGAAGTAGTTCTCAACATACACCTAGGGAAAAGCAAGATTCTCTGATACAACACAACATGCAACAATCAAATCACACATGACATCGAAACTTTGTAGAATGTAAAAACCTGTACATATCTGGACAGCATCATTGATGAAAACGGTGGATCTGATGCAGATATGAAGGCGCGGGTCAGCAAAGCAAGAGCAGCATATCTAAAATTGAAGAGCGTCTGGAACTCAAAACGATTGGCAACCAACACCTAAGTCATAACTTTCAATGCAAATGTCAAAACAGTTTTATTGTATGGGGTGAAACTCGGAAGATACAAGTGTTTATTAACAGTTGTGTACGCAAAATACTTCAGATCCATTGGCGAGACACCATCGGCAACAATCTACTGTGGTAGGGAAAAAAAGATGCTAGCGGAAGAAGAAATCAAGGAGAAGTACTGGAAGTGGATAATACAAACATTATGGAAAGCACCCGACTGCGTCACAAAGCAAGCCTTCATATGGAATCCTCAAGGCCGAAGGAGAAGGGGAAGACCAAAGAACACCTTATGCGGAGGAATGGAGACAGATATTAGTAGAATAAACAACAATTGGATAGAACAATAAAGGAAGCGCGGGACAGAGTGAGTTGGAGAATGCTGGTCGTTGGCAGATATTCCATTGGGGTCACAGGCGTAATTAAGTACTTTCTAGAAGTTGCCTTTAGTTACACGTTGAATTCCCAAAAATCCTATTTTTTACATATTCACATACTTAACGTATATCTGATTTGATAATACATATAATTTGTTGAGATGTTAGATCGTTGAAAGCAATTTACATTGAACCCTGTTATCAGTAAGTCGCACCCGTTGTCTTAAGAGTTTCTAGTCAATGACCTACAGACATGTAAAATCTCAACAAAACGTCTATTTGAATCACTTTAAAAATGACAGCTTTGTAAATTCTGTTGAACAGCGTTAACGTTAAAAATAATATCCAATTACAGCTTGAATATTAGTTAAACACAATACGTATCTACCAATCAATCAAAATAAAAGTTAACAGATTTTATATCACTTTTGTCTAAAGAAAATCTGTTTTGTGCTTTTCTTCTATATTAAATTTCATTAAGTTTTCATACCTTGTGTATTGGTCTTCCGACACTATACTTAAATTCAGTCATCATTGCGTCATATACCATGATATATGACAAATACATTAGTTTGACTTGTGAAACTCTACCTTTGCTATACTGCAGTTATTTGGGAGTAGACTTGAACTAGTTGCCTAATATCCATGACAAGGTGAAATTTCTCATCTCCTTTTTCTATTATTTGAAGAAAGTGAAAATCATTGTAATTTAAATATCGGATTCAAATTTCATTGATAATACAGAACAATAAATTCTGTGGTATATTTCTTCCCCCTATTTTTGAAATAAAAGTTATCCATTCATCTGGTATTTACTTTAAACTGTTGAAAAGTAGCATAGTGATTCACATTCATAATTTCAGTCAGTTTGTGGCTTAGTGAGTGAATGGTTCACATCTGATTAAGCTAGGATTAATCAATTACAACGTCTCACAAACACTTAATATATTCTTCCGAGAACCAGTAAACAGTGATGAAAATATGTTTATCTAAAGATAATTCTAAATAGTGGTGTGTCTTATATGAAACATGACTATCCGATCGTGTTTTAAGTTCAATGTGCTTACTTCTGAAAATACAGAAACTGAAAAAAAGTAGTCTACTTCCAACCATATTGATAAAACCTAGTTAAAACAATCTTCATATTTTATTGTGAACTAGTACTTATTGCAAATTACGTAATTCTGTAAGTGTTATCTGCAGAAAAATTAAGAGTAAACTCCATCTTATCTTTTTCTCTCCTTGATAAACAAAGTATTAAACAGCCACATGAAGGGGTTGGTGAAAAAAAAACCAAACGCAAAACCGTAAATTATATCTACTGATTATTCTATTTATATTTATATATAAATTGTTAGTTGGTAAAGGAAAACGATTAAGGTTCTAATAAGTTTCGTTATAGTCAGTATCATCTAGTTTAACATCAAATACTCATTAGGTATTGTGTATATTATTTCATTAGTGCCATATCTTGTGTTTGTATATATATATATATATATATATATATATATATATATATATATATATAGAGAGAGAGAGAGAGAGAGAGAGAGACTGTGTGTATGTGTGTGTGTGAGAGAGAGATGTAAATGCCAGTTAATGTTATCCTTTTTGTGTTTGCATTTACAATGGATTCCGGTAGACATTATTTAAATTCAGTGTGTTGTTTGTTTGTTTTTCTTTTTTGTATTTTTTTTGTAACAGGAAGATGCTTATCTATAAGGTAATAAATTGTTTCACTTATTTGGATTATTTTTAATATCTGATAAAAATCTGTATTAAAATTTAAAAATTCAATGTTGTCTAATTTTAGCTGAAATAGAATTATTCTTTCAAGTGATTTTACAGTTATAATCAGAGGTTTTGTGAAGGTTTTGGTAATTTCAATAGTTGAGATCATGAGTCAATTGAAGCTAGACCACCATGGAAAACCTGGAGGCACTGAACGGCCGTTTCGTCGTATTGTGGGACTCCTCAGCAGTGTGCATCCACGATCCCGCTCGCGCAATTCGTACCCAGGACCTACTGGTCTCGCGTGCGAGCACTTAATCACTGGTGTTAATGTCTAATTTCAACTAATCCACGAAATTGTCATTTTCATCAGTGAGTTACTATCTTGCAACTGACCTGGTTGATCTCCACTGTTCACTGCTTTTCATTAGAACTCCAGAATACACTGTGGATATATCACGTATGCGCACTACTGAGGAGTCCCACAATAGAACGAAACGGCGGTTCAGTGCTTCCAGGTTTTTCATAGTGGTCTAGCTTCAATTGACTCATGATCTCAACAATTCAAATTTACAATCATACTTTATAAACATTCTATATCTATAGGAAATCTTATCACTTTAGTTAAATTCTATTTGACTTCACAAGACAATGAAATATCAATAGGCTTTAATGATTTATGATGAATATTTTTAATTGATTTAAAAAGGACAGTGAATATGATGTTTAGTAAAGTTTGTTAGTGATTATTCGTGGAATTGAGGATGAATGTTAAGTTTTGTTTGAAGTTCATCAGTTGGATGCACCTGGAACTTTATTTAGGTATTTAGTATGTTGCAGGTACATTCAGCTAATGAGCCTTAAATGGTATAAAACACATATCTTAGATTCTATTGATAGTTATTATCCAACTTTACTGAAGTTTTATTATTAGATAGAAGTAGTGAGACAATTTATTGAAAATCCATTTATGCTAATAGAAGCCGTAGTCCTTAACACTAACAGTGAGAAAACTAAATATGATTTGTATTATCATTATAAATATTTTTTTCTAATAA